TGAATTCCCAAAGGTACGTAAATGGCCATGTGATCAGCGTCCACATCAAGAAATCAACATTATCACCCTAGTAGGAGCAATTCTTCCCCTCTCCGCCACACGTATCCCAAAGGTAACCACCTCCCCCCACCCCCCACCCCCCACCCCGACTTCCATAGATTAGCTTTGCCTAAGTTTAAGTCCTTGCCTCCTTTTCTTTCTCCTACTCAGTGGGCTACCTTGGTTTTTCTTTAAAAGTGATTTTACTGAGATATAATGGACATGAAATAAAGTGCCCATATTTAAAGTGTTCAATTTGATCAATTTGGACAAATGTGCATACCATGAAGTCATTACTACAATCAAGAGAAGTGAATCCATGCCTCCCAATTTCAGCCAACCACTGATCCACCTTCTGCCATTATAGATTGGTTTGCAATTTCTAGGATTTTTATATAAATGGAATTAGGAAGCATGTCCGTATTTTGCCTGCCTCCTTTCACTCAGTATAATTATTTTAAGATTCATCCACATCAGTACATGCGTCATTCCTAATTCATTCCTTTTTATTTCTCAGTAGTATCCCATTGAATGGATATACCATACTTTGTTTATCCATGAACCTAATGACAGGCATTTGAGTTCTTTCCAGTCTGAGGCTCTTTAAAATAAAGCTAATAAGAACATCTGTGCACATGTCTTTGAATGGACATATGCTCTCATTTATATTGGGTAGATATGTAGGAGTGGAATGTCTGGGTCATATGTTATATGTACATTTAATGTAAGAAAATGCCAAAATGTCTTCCGTTCTGCACTGTCCTGAGCAGTGTATGAGAGTTTCAGTTGCTCAATCTCTCAATAAGTCTTGATGTAATCAATCTTTTTCATTTTAGACTTTCTATGTGTATAGTTGTATCTGATTGTGATTTTAATTTGCATTTCCCTGATCATTAATAATTTTGCACATATCTTTTGATGTGCTTGTTATCTGTATGTCTTTTTTGGTTGTTTTCCTTTGCCCATGTGAATTAGGTTATTTTCCTGGTATCGTGTTCTGATAGTTCTTTATATTATCTGGCTACAAGTCTTTTATCGTATATTTTATTTGCAAATAGGCCTCCCAGTTTGTGGCTTGTCTTTTCACTCCCTCAATAGTGTCCTTCCAAGAGCAGGTAAAGGTCTTAATTCCGGTGAAGACCAATGTATGATTTTTTTTTCTTTCATGAGTTGTACTTTGGGCGTCCTATGTAAGAGACCTTTACTTAAGCCATAGTCACACAGATTTTCTGTTTTCTTCCAGAAGTTTTATTTCAATCAGGTTTTATATTTAGGTCTGTGACCTACTGTGAGTACAGCCGTGCATGTGCTGTGAAGTATACATCGAAATTGGTTTTGGGGTTTTTCTTGCATTTCAATATCCAATTGCTTTGACATCAATTATTGAAAAGACCATCCTTTCTTCTTTGAATTGCCTGTGCACCTTTGTCAAAAATCAATTGACCATATATATATGAGTCTATTTCTGGACTCTTTTCTGTTCCGTTAATCCATTTGTGTATCTTGATGTCAATACTACACTGTCTTTATTGTTGTGCTTTTGTGATGCAGACTCGGACCAGTGTGGTCCGTGTGTTGTGGATGCGATGAACAAATCCACACGGACTGCAGAAGTCCTATGGAATAAAAGGGACAGCATGGCCATCTGCGAGTGAGAGAGAAGGCCCCGACCCCTGCCTGGCCAGGCTTTCATTGCTTTTCTGGGAGCATTACCTCAAGGGAGGTCTTCATTCATCATTGTCAGGCAGTAAGGCTCAAACAATAGATAACATTCAAAGAACTATGGGGGCTTATTCTGAGTCAGGGTCAGTTAGCTAAAGGGCCACAGAACTTTGGGAAACAAACTCATTTCAGCTTGGAGCCTTATCAGAAAATTGAGGACAGTCTCAGAAAAGCAGGTTTCACAGGATTTTATGTATTCTTTCTTAGTCCTGTTTGCCCCGGGGACCGCCCATTCCTGCCCAGGGCTGTACCGTCCTCCAACATTGTTTCAGGCTTAAGTCAGGCAAGGGAAGTAAGGCAGCCAAGAGATTTGGAGACTTCTCTAAGATAGAATGAGGACTCAGGGTATGTCAAAGCCAAGGGGTGAAGGTTCATCACCCCCTTTTTCTATAGCCCCCCAAGTCCTTCCCTGAGGGCCCTTCATGACCATGCCTGTCTTAGTTCATCCCTCCCTTGAGGAATCTAACCAGTCATCCACCCCAGGGCCAAGCAGGGTGAAGTAAAGCAGGCAGAGGCAATGCCCCTGACAGGGAGATAAGCTTTGTCTCCTTAGTGGTTCATGATCCCAAGGTCTCTCACTCAGCCTTAGCCACAGGGGGTTACAGCTCCTGAAACTAGGCAGGGCAGTTCTCAACACCTTTATATGACTCTTGAATTCAGGTCATATAAGTTCTTTAACTTTGTTGTCTTGTCAGTAGTTGTGGTTATTCTAAGTCTTTTGCATGCATTTCTGTACAACTTTCAGAATTAATTTACCAATTTCACACACACAAAAAGCTTTCTTGGGAATTGATTAAAATTGTGTTGAATTTATAGATCAGTCTGGGGGGAAAATGACAATTTAACAATATTATCTTGTGATTTATGAGCTCAATATATTTTCCTTTGGTTTTCTTTAATTTCTCCCAGCGTGTCTTGAATCTATGGATTTACAATTGCAACAAATTTCGATAATTTTTGGCCATTGTCTCTTCACCTATTTCTCTGTGCCCCCTTCCTTTGGAGACTCCAGTTACATGAATATTAGGGCACTAGCAGTGGTCACATTTTGACTGATGCTCTATTTATTAGTTTCAGTCTTTTGTTCCCTCTCTGTTCATATTGCTGTGTTCAAATTCACTAATCTTCTGCACTAATTTGTTAATTGCATGTAGTGTATTTTTCATGTCAGTCATTGTATTTGTCATCTCTAGAAGTTTTATTTAGGTCTTTGTCATGTCTTCTATGTTTCTGCTTAATGTGTTAAGTTATTCCTCCAGATTCCTAAACATGGGATATAGTTATAACAACTGTTCTATTTTTGTTAACTAACTTTATCATCTCTGGCACTTCTGGGTTGGCTTCAATCAATTTTTCTCCTCATTTTGGGTCATACTTACCTGCTTCTTTTAAATTTCTGATTAAGTGTCAAACATTGAAAATTTTGTTTCATTGGGCTTTGGGTAGTTTTGTTTTCCTATAAACATATTGAGCTCTTCCTTGGGAAATAGTTAAGTTACTAGACAACAGCTTGATCCTTTGGGGTCCCAACGTTTGTTGAGTGTTCTTAGGGAGGAGCGCACAGCAGCATTGCCACCAGGAGTAATTTTGCACCACTACTGAGATTCAGTCCTTCAGGGCAGTTCACAGTGCCTTGCGAATTATGATGCTTTTCACTGTGGCTGGGAGAACAGGAGCTATTTCCACCCTGTGTGATTCTCTGGTGATTTTTCCTTTTAATCCTTTCCACTGGTTCTTTCCCCACCATCAGATAGTTTCTTCACCTGCATCTGCTGATGGATATTCAGTGGGAGACTTGACTGGGGCAATCTCCAGATCAGATCTCCAGAGCTGGAGAGGAGATCGTGATTCTAATTTTGTAAATTTTGTGGAGGCAAATGGCATATAAAGATGGCTGTTGGATTTCCAGATTGGTGGCTCAGGCAAGAGAAGCAGGCTGGGGGTGGAAATTTGGGAAGTGTCTCTGTAAAGTCAGGATAGCACCACACGTGAGAAAGTACAGATTGAGAAGAGAGGTGGTTCTGCCTTTTCTCCTTCCTCAAAACATGTCTCATTCTCCTCTCCTGACGTCTTTCAAATATCCGACTAAATGCCCCCTCCAGGAACACTTCCCAAGTATCCTACCTGACCTAGTCCCACCTTACTCTTTCAGCTGGACATTTCCCTCCGAGCACACTTTCCACAGTCTGTGCTACATAGACTTCGTACTTGTTTACTATCATCTTCTGTGGCCACCACTGGAATGCCACCTCAATGCGTGCGGGGACCTTTGTATGTCAACCCCCAGCACCTCATTTCCTGTGACAATTGTATTTTCAAACTCAGAGGAACTCCTTAATGTGAATGTGTGTTGATAAGAAAACAACTGAGGTTATTGTTCCCAGAAATATTCGTTTATCTCCTAATATTTTTAGCACGTTTATCTGATTATCTATTTACATTACTTTCTAAAATCTGCTTTTCATAAATAAGCTTGAAAAGATATTTCTATTACAAGGTCATATTAAGCTCAGAACCAGGTACCGTAATTGTAAAGCACACACAACAAGGCACACAGAACACCTAGTAAGTTTCCCTTTTCTAGTCTAACATCCCAGGAGTAGATTTGAAACAGTCAAGGGGAAGAAACTGGCAACCAAAAGAGCCAATGTGAGGCTTTAAAATATCCCAGAGATAGATCCAATCAAATCATTTGGCCCCACAAAAAACTAAGCGTTCCCACCACTCTTGCAGGGCTGCGCCGGGGAACAGCCCACGGGAGCCCAAGTGGGTCCCTTTCTGCTCGGCCCCTCGGGCAGGTATCAGTGGCGCTCCCCCTCCCTCTAGGCCTCTACCCCTCGGTCTCTGGAGCAATTTCCCTCCGGGCGGTAGTGCTTTGCAGGATGTCCAGTAGAGAAAACTCCCCAAATTTCAGATCTCATACACAGTACAAACTCAAAGTAACACACGGTGCGCCAAAATGGTAAACCCAACAGAACATTGGAACCTTCCTCACTCCTCCCCACGCCCAAGCCTGGGCTGCGATGCCCTCGCCTCAGCCTCCTCCCCCTGCCGACTGGGGGCTCAGGCCGCCACTGCCCCCGGGCGGCGGAGGACCCCGCTCCAGCTTCCCGAACTACAGATCCCAGGGTGCCTCAAGGACTCCCGCTCCCTCCCTCGCTGGCTCCCTCCTCCTCCCGTCGCCTCCTCCCAAGCCCTTGTTGTTTTGGCTGGAAGCGCCCGGGCGGAGTTTCAGAGAAAGTCCGAGCTGAAATCGGAGCCGGCCAGAACGTGGGAAGGGGAGGAGGATAAGGAGGAAGAGGGAGCCGTGAGGCCGGGAGAGGGAAGGATCGAGGCCCGGCGCCGGGCGGCTCCGAACCTGCCACTTGGGTGGGGGAGGTAGCCCCGAGGAGTGCAAGGGCGCGGGACAGTGGGATACTTCCCCGAGCCGATCAGCCGTTCCACCCTCCCTCCTCGCTGCTCTCTTCCAAGGCCACCAGCCCGCACCCACCCTTCGGCGGGACCTGCTCGCTTGCCGGCGCCCGCCGCCCGGCGACGCCCGTGCTTCGCCGCCAACCCGGGACGTGCCCTGCACCCCCTGCCCACGGGACCCTCTTGGTTCCCCCTTTCTTCCCAGCTTCCCGAGCTTGCTGAGAAGTGACCCACCCTCCCCCCCGGGGAGGAGTAGGGATAGGATCGCTCCCGGCGCACCGAAACCGAGAGCGAGAGCGGGAGAGCCGGAGTGGGCGCCACACTGGGTATTGTGTGTGTGAGTGAGTGAGTAGTGAGTGTGTGAGTGTGTGAGTGTGTGAGTGAGTGAGTGAGTGAGTGTGTGTGTACAGCCTAGCGTTTGTTTCGAAAACGCTCAGGGGAGGTCCTGTCCCTAGGGGGCGGAGCACAGCGGACAGAGGCCCCAGCTCGGTGCCGGGGCAGAGTCCCGTGGAATCTCATCACAGCTGGGGGCCGGCTGGACCAGGCGCCTGGCGAGGAGGCGGGCGCACTAAAAGGAGGCCCCTGCCCCGAGGTGTCGAGGTGCCCGGAGAAGCAGCTCACTTGCGTTCACGTCAGAGGATCTGCAGGGCAGAAGCTTGGCTGCTGAGCTTGGGCACGCCACACGGCTAGCCCACCCCGCCCACCCCGTCGGACTGGGGTGCCCGGCCGGAGAGCGAGGTCCCCACTGCTGTACAGCCGGGAGACGTCGGCTGAGTCGGGAGCGCGCTCGCCTGCCCCTCCGCTGCCCCAGCGGAGCCAGAGAAGCTCGCAACATGAGCGGCGGAGAAGTGGTCTGCTCTGGATGGCTTCGCAAGTCCCCTCCGGAGAAAAAGTTGAAGCGTTATGTAAGTAGAGTTTCGGCCGAGGTTCCTGGGGCTCCACGGGCCTCGGCTCCCGCACCTCTGCCTGGCGCTCTCGCCAGCGGCTGCAGCTAGCCGCGCGCGGGGCTGGTTAGTTCGCGTCTTTTTCCTCTCGGCCCTTTTGGGACCGAGCCTGAAACCTCATGCCCTGGCCTCCACTTCACCAGGTAACTTTCTTCCACCAGATTCTAGACGCCTGCTTAGCGGGCCTCATCGTCCCAGAAGAGGGCCCGATATTTCCAGCTAAACCTCTGCTGCATGTGTTTTTATGATTTTTTTTTTTTTTGCAGGGGTGGGGAGAACAGCATTCTCCTTACCTTATATTTGCATCTAATCATTGCGGGGCTGCTGGGTACTAAATTTCCTGCACTAGGAAAACCGCTGAGCTTTGTAGAAGTCACCAGCCCTCTCTTGGGTCCGCACACCCCTTGCTTTCTCCCGCGGTGGGTTACGGGAAGCGGGCTGTGGATATGAGAAGTTGGAGTTAGACACAAGCATCTCAAGTCCTCAAAAAGAGAAAGAATGAGAAGTTATTACGCGCCCTACCGTTTGCTTAGCAGAGGTTCACATAATTCGCGGTTTTTTGAATCCAGCGAGGTTGGAGTTTGGGCCGAGAGCCTTGGCAGTTTGCTGCGAGAGGAGGGCGCTGTGGGGAGCCTAGTGGCTGGTGTTTGGGCGCCTTGGACATGCTGTCAGGTCCCTCAGGAGGGGACAGCTGAGGCCCTTAAGGATTTCTGTGGTCTTTTCCCAGGCCACCAGAGTTGCTTAAATGGTATTTGTGTAATTGGTACAAGATGCCGATTATGTGTAAAAGCTGTTAGGAAAAATATTCCTTGAAAGAATCAAACTTACTTTGGTGGCAGTCCGTGCCCTTTCCAGGGGTATGGGATCTTACCCGCTTCGCCCCCACTGGTTCTTTGGTCGTTGCCCCGCTGCAAGGAAAGAAAAGGCACTTTTGCCCTGGCATATGGAGCAGATTTCTTTCTACTAAAATGTATTTCAAAAGCAAAATGTATGCCCCCTTAAATATAAATTTACTACCAAGGAGCCAACACTTGTAATGGAAGCTATTTCTTGTTGAAGGATATCTACACTCAGTGTTACAATAGAATCAAGTTAATCTTATTAGTCACTGTTTGCTTGCACAAACCAAAGTGAAGTGCAGCACTTAGCTTCACAGACAACTAACTGATCAGTTTCTTGTTTATTTTCTGCCAGATTTTGTTATAGACAGGTAATTCTCATTTAAAGACTTGATGCCACAAAACCTAAGAAAATTCTCCAGAGGTTTTGAATCCTTCTACATTCTTTCTTTCCAGGCATCACTGTTTGCCTTCATACCCTGGTAGAGATACTAACTTTACTGCAAAAATTTGGGACAGATGTCTTGCCTCCCCACCCTGTCTTAAAAAAAAAAAAAAAAAAAGGATGCATGTGTGTAAGAAGAGAGATAAAGAAATGGATTTGTTTTGAGGAGGTGCATTTGGGAAAGACCTAGACCTAAGTGATTTGGTTCTTGGGGAACCAAAGAACAACACATTTGTTGAAATGGGTGCTGATGCCAGAGGTTCAATGCATTCTTTCCCGGGGTCCGTCTATGGCTCTTTCAAACGATGCCGCGCACTGGACTAAACACCATGACATCAGGAAATGCAGTAGGAAAAAAGCCCTGCCTCTTGGGCTTGCACTTGAATATAACATAAACCAGGAAAAAGTTAGCCAAGTGCATTGTCTTAACAGGACCAAAAAGAAAAGGAAAGGCCAAGTTTTTTAAAAGTTACTATTTTATTTGATCATTCCAGCAGTTTTTCGAGGCCACTTCATCTCTGTTTTATAGACAAGAAAACAGTCTACAGAACTAGAATGTGGCAGAGGCAGAATCTGAACGAGAATCTGCCCAACTGGGCTATAGAAGGTTAATTTATACTAGATCACCTCTACATTTCCTTTCAGATTATAATTTTCTAAGCGTCTGTATTAGTTTGGAATGCAAGGAAGAGGTGGGGTGCAGGTTAGTCAGGCATTGCTAAGGAAACATAGACCCTTCAAGTGGCTTTCTGCACCTAAGAGAAGATGAGGTAAGTATATGAAACAGTGAGCCCACAACACGAAGACGTTTTTGATTGCGTGCCCAAGCTGAGTGCTATTTTTTTCTTTTTTTTTTTTTAAGAAATCAGAACATCTTTTTTTTTTAAGGTTTTATTTATTTATTTTTAGAGAGAGGGAGAAAGAGAGGGAGAGAAACATCAATGTGTCGTTGCCTCTCACATGCCCTACAGTGAGGAGCTGGCCCGCAACCCAGGCATGTGCCCTGACTGGGAATCGAACCAGTGACTCTTTGGTTTGCAGCCCGCACTCAATCCACTGATCTACACCAGCCATGACTGCTTTGTATTTTTTTTTAAATACATGTTTTGAGGAAGAAGCTCAGTGTAGTCTGAAACCATGGGAATAGTTTTAGAGAGATAGTGGGCTCCTTAAATTGTATTTCCATCAGGGGAAGACTCTGCCAGCAGCTGGAGGGCGGCCGAGTTTTTTTCTTACCTGACGGAATACCAGTGTTTTCTTCACACACTGGTGAAGTACATAGAAATGGCCCCGGGAGACAGTGGGCAGGGCCGCTGTCAGAATTGAGGGGTCTAAGAAGGTGGCTGGGGTGTTACAAGTTAAAATGAAGCTTTTGTGTATTTTAGCTGTCAAGTTGGCTGCCCAGGAGATTCAAAATTCCCAGATTATTGATCTTTTGGCTTTGATATCCAGTTCAGATTGCTTTTGTTAAAGTGTCTTTGACCCTCAGAGATATAGGCATGTATTTATGCATTTGTATGGTTGTTTTCTATTTGTGTAAAATCTTATTTTCTGGAGAGAAGGACACTTTGCCGGCCACCAAACTGGCGAACTGTGGCTTGGTAATGGCTTCTAACGAACGGATTTGGTGCGGAAAGATACCTGGATGTGTGGGACTGGGACTGTTAAATGAGACTTTAGAAGTTTGAGCATTGATTCTATTGGGAAACAGTTGGCCCATGGGACTTGAACGTTGTCTCACTGTTTACAATATTTATGTAGTTGTCCCAAGATTGATTAAGATGATCCATGAGGGCTTTTAAGTGACAAAACATTGTTTCAGTGTTATCTTTAAACGCCATCCTAAGGGAGGGTCCCAGCACATTCCATTCACAGCTCCATTTTATGTGCATAGTTGACGGTCGACTGAAGCAGCATCGTTTTTGCATATTGGGGTGTTCATCTGATAGGGCAGCTTTTCTGGAATTTTCTGAGTGAAAGTGGAATATGAGAAAGTGAGAGAAAGAAGCCTGGAGTCCTTAGCAGCTTTCCTAGCCTTTTTGTCTCTGTAACTTTTTCTGTCTGTATTGGCAAAAGGGTCTTGTAAGGTGTTTCACTCTGTGAATTTTTTAGAGTCTATTCAAAGTGGAGGTGAAAATGTACCCGCTTTCTTTCCATTGTGCTGCTCCTGCATTGTTTCTGTCCTGCGTTATGTATTGAACAGCTGCTTTTTTTAAGGACCCGACGGAATCATACGCAGGTCAGTGCCTCTGAAGGATACAGAAAACAAGGAAACCTGGGTAGCATGCACTCCGCAGGCTTGGTCAGATTTTTCAAGAGTTATTTAAAGACATATCAGCCATTTGAAATAACGGTGGAATTTCCATCAGGACTTGAAATTTTAGCTGAGATAAAATGCAAGTCTGGTAACAAAGGAATGATTCAGGCCAGCTGGCAATCACCCTAACCCTGCAGGAGGGGCTTCACTCTGGCCTGCCTCAAGCCCGGCCACCAAGTTTGGGTTCCTCCCCGGCCTCGCTGTCAGCATCGGGCAGGTGTGCAGTCTCAGCAGGAGAACCTGCTTCTGAGGCCACGGCAATGGCCTGTGAGCTGCCTGGGAGCAAGAACCCAGCCGGTTGGCGGGTGTCTAATCCGCACCCAGCTTGGGGCCTGCTCTTCAGCTGTCAGTTAAGAGAATGGTTCTTGTCTGGACTCCCAGAACACTCCCCTGGTGCTGGAAATGGGCCTAGAAACAGAAATAGCTTCTCTGGGTGGGCACCTGACATCTTACATGGAGAGAGGGTCATGGGCAGCCAGAGCAGCAGCATCTCCTTGGTTCAAGGGCAGCCTGGGGTCTGTTGTGCTCAGCATCCAGCCTCTGCTCAATTGTGTCACCACCACGACAGGATCGAGATGTCTGGAGGCTCTTCCTGCCCCTTTTGGCAATTGCTGGAAGCAATCAATGGGTTCTGAAGCTGTTGCGTACAGTGACTAAAGCAGCAAGATTATTTTGTTGAAATTTTTTTCCTTGCAGTCCTCATGCTGGTAAATATTTCCCTCAAATTCCAAATGTTTTCTTTTTACCTTTTCCTTTGTTTCTGTTAACAAAGACCATCAACTAGCAATTCCATTAAGCCTTTCTGATGGTTAAGGAGAGCTAATTCTTTCCTTGTGCCCGGCTTCATGATGAGCACAAAACTCTCCATGTAAAACTCGCTACGTTCCTCAGTCTGCTCGTTGTCTTCTGGGAGTCAGGAGTACCTACCGTTAGGAAAGTGTTTCAGTTTGCAGGGTAGTTTTGAGTTCTACTGATCAAAAAATTTGCTTTTACAACTTTAAAATCATTGTGTTTGAACAAAATATAATACCGCAAGAATTACACTTGGGTAATCTGGCTGCCAGTGGCAACAAAGCACTTTTTAAGACTAAGTAAAATTCCATATTTTGAAGTTAGCATAAAATATGTAGATAAGGCCCTGGCCAGTGTGACTCGGTTGGTTGGGCATCGTTGGTTTGATTCCCGGTCAGAGCACACAGCTGGGTTGCAGGCGAGGTCCCTGGTCACGGTGCATATAGGAGAGGCAGCTGATTAATGTTTCTCCTATATCGATGTTTCTTTCTCCCTCCCTTCTCCCCTCTTTCTCCCTCCCTTCCCCCTCTCTAAAAATACAATGCATAAAGTTTTTTTTTAAACGTAG